TTCGGCTCAATACGCCGCATGGCGACAGTTGCTGCCATCGTACGCATACGACGTGGTGACATTCGACTCAATATATCTTTCTAAGCAATACAATTTTCTGACTGAACAAGAATGGTTAGGGATGGCTAACTTATAACTAGGGCTGTGAAATATATGCATTTGCATATTTTTTCTGGTTAACTAAAACATACAGTTTTAACAAACTGTATATGTTTTGAAGCATTTGGAATCAATTTAAGCTATATTTATTTTCCATATTTGTGCATATATTGCCATCAATGCATATTTTTGCATAAACGGGTTGTAATTGCATATTTTTTTACATATCCGGCACATCGGTATTTGGCACGTCAAATTTTACTGCTTCTGAATAGGCAAAAAATATCCGAAAAAGTGCTACGGGTTCCCAGTCTTCCGTTTCCACATAATGAACGAGTTTGTGTTTGTTCAGTTGCTGCTCCTCCGCGAACTTTCGGTCGCCTTTGCTTCTCTTGGAATAGATGTAGAAAGGAATAGTGTTGTACCACTGTAAATGTTCTCTTGCAATAGTTCAATTGGATTCATGGAAATATTACGACCTCAGATCTCTTCTTTACCTACCAACATACGAACATAGCTGTACCCAGTCTCTCATGCGTTCACGTTACATCGTGAAGCAGTATTCGTGTGTTGTAAACTGACTAGTCCTAAAATGCCGAAAGCCACCGCAAAGACGAATGATTTTTTTCAAAAGTATGTGCGTGAATTTTCCAGTGAGACTTTTAAGGGCGATGCAGACGTTTTACAATGTGTTTATTGGGATAAACCTGTATCAACAGCTACACGTTTTTTGGTAACGGAGCATATGAAAACAGTAAAACACAAGGGAAATAAAAGTTGGAAGTCTAAGTTTCCACAAACTTTTGTGACACAACTGGTCTGGAAAGTCTGATTTCGATACCGATTTATGTCGTGCTTTAGTTAGAGCTGACCATCTATAAACTAAGCCACCCAGAATTCAAGGTTTTTTTGGAAAAATGCAAAGGGAAAACCATTCCCCACGAAAGTACCCCCAGGAAATCTCACCTGGATCTTAAATACAATGAAACACTCCATAAAATCAGAGACGTCATCGAAAATAGACCGATCTGGGTCTCGATGTATGAGACGGAGGATTTTTTAAATTTATTTTATTTTATTTTTTAAATGCGTTTTTCTTTTTTAATAATAGCCATGTGATATTCCTCTTGCCACTGTTTCTCTATTCACTATTTCAAAACTTTGAGGTTTCCTTATTTTTTCTCATGGTAGTTTCGCATATTTTCAGTTTTAAATTGCAATTTTTACCAAATATGTTTACATATATATGTGCATATTTGAATGTTTTTATCGCATATAAATCACAGCCCTACTTATAACTTATTCGATATGCAAAAAAATGGAAAAATTTGATATGCTGCAGGCTGCCAATTAACGCGGAAACAAAAATAATTGGACACAATAAACGTAAAAAGAAGGTAGCAAGATTTGCATCTATCATGCTATCAAATACAAAATCGGTTCCTGCCCCCGCATCAACTAATAAATAGTCAACAAATTTAACAAATCCCTGGCCAATATCTATATTTAGGAAGAACCAAGTTAATATTAATTCAATAAATTGATAGCCCACTCTAACCACTTGTCACGATAGCTCATATGGTTATAGCAGCGGCGTATTGAGCCGAAAGTCGTGGGTTCGAATCCCGCTAATCAATGAAGTGACGCTAACTTTATTTGAATATTCATTTTGAAACGAATTGATCGAAATCGTGAACTTTTTGTTTGGGATCCAAAGCCCCAGAATAAAATTTATTTTCTTCTTCTTCTTCGTCTTCTTAATCCAAGCAGTGACTACGACCAGTTTCTGAATTCATACTTTAAAGGATGTACCAATCGGTTTTTTGGACTTGTTTTGGAATCTAACACGAACTGCTGTTTGAAATAAATATCTGTTTGGCCACTTTGGTCAACGGCGGAAGATGTTTTACGACCAACGCTTTCCTCAAAACAATAGGATAATTTACGTAAAGTGACCAATATCTGGTAGACCACCACTCCAATGACAAGCATTACGATTTTTTTTTCAATTTCTTTCTCAAATATCTCGAACTATAACCCAATTTTAAAGGCAGTACGTTGACCAACTGCACGACCAATTTTATCTTAAAAAGCATGGTTCAATTGTAAAATTCACATTCAATTTATACGAAAAACGGGTATTTTTTCAAAATCAGATCTAATCTTTCGTACTTATCTCTAAACAGAGGAAACGACTAATCTTTTTTTAATTTAAAATTAAGATTGTTCCACCTAATCAACCTAAAAAAGAAGTTAACAAAAAGAAGTAAATCATACTGGTAGTGATTATAACCACAATAATGTTCGATAATAGAATTACGTGATGCCTTTAGATTATTTTCGTTTGTAAAGTATGCCCTGGAAGTCTAAACGAGAATACAAAAAGAAGCATTTGTTCCGCCTTATCGATTGCAATCTCTATTTACAATTAATCGTTTATCATCATTTGTAATAGTTTTAAATCAGGATGACGAAATTAATAAAAATATAAAAAAATAGTAACTAAACAGTATTTGCTTAATACCCATCCTAGATACTCAAATAATACCAATTTGGCTTACGTACTCAACATTCCAACAGAAGTTGAGCAATTATGTAATGAAGTTTAGCAATGTTTCTTATGTCTGGCATACATTCCTTTTTCAGGAATGTATTTTAGACTTGAATTTTTATAGTCATGTTAATAAACAACCTGGCGAAAAACAAGCGTATTTCAAATTTATATCAACTGGCGTGCTGATGAAACTTAGTGATTTTTCGATATCATCTTATAAAAGTGAACTCTCTGGAAATATATATTTGCACACAACACAAGCAGAAAATTTCTTTTCTTCATCCGTAAAGGAAGAAATGGACTAGGTTCAACAACAATTCAAAATGGTAAAACTCTAAATGGTATCAAAGAATTATAAAAATTATCAAACCATTGAACAAATAAACTTGGATCTGTGGGTCGTTCGAACGTTTGACCTTTTCAGATTGATTTTTACGTTATTTGTTACTGAGATGTGTTTTATGTTATATTCAATTAATTTTATTTAAAAAAATATTTGTATTATATTCTCCTTTTAAAGCGCTTAATACCCATCCTGGGCTCATAAAATCATTCCTTCTCACCAACCCAAGATTTCAGATAGTCAATACAATCTCCTATGCTCTAAAGAATAGTGTGTATTGCTTGGGTGCGTTCCTAGATGATGCAGGGGTGTTGATAAGGTATGTTACCTAGCCGTGCTTTATAAACTTAAACCATTCCTACCAGCTCTTTACTACCTTATCTTGAAATTCTATTTAAGAATGAGGTGCACCAACGAATTTTTGGAAGTCTGACAGATAGCCGGCGTCCGACAAGGGATCATTCTTGGTCCCTTCCTTTATATCATTTATACTGCTGACTGATCTATACACCCTAATACCATCATCACCTACGCAGACAATAACGCACTTTTGTCTCCTAATTCGAATCCTATCCAAGGTATGTACAACATCCAAGAACACCTTGAGCTTGTGGAAGAAAGATGCAAAAAGTGGAGATAAGATTGAATGAAGAAAAAAGTACTCAGTGTAAGTTCGCACTGAAAAAACAGTCTTGTACTCTATATACGTCAACAACAAAGACCGACTTTCATTCATGTCACATACTTAGGACAATACCTACACAGTAGATTGAAGTGGAATACCCACAGAAGACTTAAGTGACAACAACTTAACGGAAGACTTGGATACACGAAGACTTCCAGAACCGAAATCTGTCTTGACCGTGAAAACTAAACTATCCTTGCATAAGACTTTACTGCAACTACTTTGGACATGTAGAATGGAAGTCTGGGGTTCTGTCAAGCCATCCATCATCCAGCGCATCCTTCCAATCAAAAGTACTCAGACCCCTTACTACTTCACTATCCTCACTATCCACAACGACCATAACATCAACAAATAAAGACACAACAGACAGTCGTGGAATCCTCACAGAAAAGTGACTACAACTTAACAGAAGACTTGGATAACTACGAAGATTTCTAGAACCAAATTCTGTCTTGATCGTGAATTACTAACCAACCTTATATAAGACTTTACCGTTACCGCTTTGGACATATGGAGTCATATGTCGCTGGGACATATGTGGGGTTCTGCCAAGCCAACCATCATCCAGCGCATCCTTCCAATCAAAAGTACTCAGACCCCTTACTACTTCACTATCCTCACTATCCACAGCGACCATAACATACATGTTCATCATACAACGTTCCTACCCCAAAATCCGACTGCTTACGCTACCTTGCGTTCCACCTAGACTCACGCCTAACGTGGAATCGGCACATACGATTGAAACGACAGGACCTAAACAGACGCTACTGTCTATTCTACAAACTTATAGGACAACAATCCAAGCTATCGACGAAAAACAATCTAACTATTTATTGGGGGGACCGCGGAAGCCGAGTGGTTAGCATGAGAGACTCTCACGCCGCGGTCGTGGGTTCGATTCCCACCGTCGCCTCTGGCCCTTTTTTCTCGATAACCCCCAATTTGAACAACATATATAAGAGATTCGTCATGGCTAATATGCAAAGATCATAAGGCCAATTTAAAAAAAAAAAANATATATATGTATATAAAGAGAAAATCACTAAAACCTTCCCAAAATTTTATTGTACATCTACGTTTCTGATTTATTTATGGAATCCCAGCATTTTGCAATTACGTGAAGGGTATAAAGGGTTCAACACGCCTGTAATCGTGAGGATTTGTGGATCCGTTTCAATATTTACGTGCATTCGAATAGAAGAAATTAAAGACTATGGAATCAGTCAAGGTACAGCGCTGCGTCCATTTTATTCTTGCTGTACATCAACCATTTGTCTTATCTACCGCTGTCAGTAAAATATATTTATTTGCAGATGACGTCTTGACCTCAACTGCTGACTTCTGGACGGATGTGTTAAATACAGATGAGCAGGCTTTGGCCAAAATATCAAACTGGATGAGATGCAACCTATTAACTTTGAAAAGAAATAAATGCTCATTCATGCCCGTATCCATTAGCCAAGAGTCGACAACATAAAACTTCTCAAACACTACATCAGTGTGAGGAACAACTGCATTGTTGCCAACCAATTAAAACAGTAGGTTAAATATCTTGAGACAGACAATCACATGAAATGAAATAAACATATTAAATATAAATGAGAAAATGTAAGGACATGTATGTATATTATAAACAAAATATAAGGATTCCAAATTAAAACTAAAAATTAATGTATACAACCCGGTTCCAATCAATAATGTAATTTGGATTTACTGCTTGGAGGGGGGTACATATCGATATATTGTTGAGCTATTTTACATCCTACAAAAACCATGCCTGAAAAAGGTTATACAACAAAAATTTCAGATATACATCAAAATTATTATTCGAGGAAATAGGAGTTTATAGCGTACAGCGAATCTTTGTAAAAAAAATTATGTATGTCTATTATTACATAAAGAAATTGGTAAATTACTTCAGAATCAACGTGTTACAATAGGAATTATATATATAATCAAATTACCGACGATAAAAAAATATATTAGCGAAAATTCACCAAATTACAATGATATTGTTAAATAAACTATTATCCAACCTTTATGTCCTTGTACAAAACGTGTAGTATCTATTTATGTATCTATTCAAGTGTTTTTGTGATGCAAAAAACGAATATCAACTTGGTTTCTTGCTAAAAAAAATATTTTCATCTACTCTGCTACGTCGCTCGATCAGCGTTGTTGTGTGAAAATAGTCTATGAAAAATAGTAATTTGTAAAGTGATCCTTGAGAAAATAGTAAATAGGATGTTTATCGAAACGTGTTTGTCGCACAGTGTCATAATTTCATAATTGTTCAGTTTATAAATAAATTCTCGCAACGAATATTCGAACAGAACTATAGTTCATTTTATTATTACAAAGGAATCGTTCAGCAATATTTTATAATTATATTTGGTCGTATTTCTTCTTTTTCTGGTGAGTATGAGTAATTTTGGATAGAAGCTTGTACAACTGATACACAGTATATAAAATGACAATGAAAAAAACAAATTCGAATGGACTTTTAGCGGTTGATGTTTTAAAATTTGTACAGCAGATTGGATCAAATGCGTAAGAAAGTGACACAAAGCTTAAATGAAAACACTGAAAATAACTTTAAATAAATTAAGGTTTTTAGTTGAGATAAAAAAGTCAGTGTCAAGAGCGGGATTCGAACCCACGACCTTCGGCTAGATACGCCGCTACTCTACCACTTGAGCTATCTTGACTTCGATCCACTCGGACACTAACTTCCCATCTCAACCGCACCTTTTGAATTTTCCCTCCTTTTTGCCATTTTTCAATGGAGGGAAAATTCAAAAGGTGCGGTTGAGATGGGAAGTCCGAGCGGATCGAAGTCACGTAGCACAAGTGGTAGAGCAGCGGCGTATTTAGCCGAGGGTCGTGGGTTCGAATTCCGCTCGCGACGCTGACTTTTTTATCTCAACCAATACCTTATATAAAGATTAATTACTTTAAAAACGTTATTCGGTCAATCGGACCACGAACTATAATGAGTATATCATAGATATTCAGATGGCTTTGGATAAAAGTAATGTTACTATTCTTCTTACATCAATAGTAGCGGCGTATCTAGCCGAAGGTCGGGGGTTCGAATCCCGCTCGTGACACTGACTTTTTATCTCAACTAAAAACCTTAATTAATTGAAAGATATTAATTGGTCAAGCGGACCACGAAGACTATTGAGTTGGACTGAAAATAACATCGATATCAGTTCTTTTGAATCAACAAAAAGCAATTGAACGAGTGAATTAATATCGATGATGGCGGACAAAATTCAGCTTTAAAATTGGCCGGTCTAGTTTACATATTGCAATAAATAATAACGTTTAGGGATGGATTATCTCAACCAATACCTTACATAAAGATTAATTAATTTAAAAAAAGGTAATTGGTCAATCGGACCACGAACTCTAATGGATTTAATAAATAATTTAAAAAAAATACGTGGCAAATAACTTTGTTTACGTCACGGATTTAAATAGAAATTTAGGCACACGTGCGTAAACAAGGTGAAAGAGATAGTATATCGTACAAATCTGAAAGCTTTCGGGAAAAACAAGAAATGAATCAAATACTGTCGAAATTTTTATCGATCTGGAGAATTTATCAGTGCGGGAATTTATTCGCATTATATTCGTTGTACTTTCTCCTTTACTTGGACGTCTGATAAACCCAGCAACATAATTAGACAGGGGCAAAAACAAGACAGAAGAGAATATCCACTACAAATTCGATTCGAAAATTTGAAAGGGTTGCATGGACCAAACTGAAAACCTGGGCCAAAGGCAAACACATAAAATAATGATAATTCCAGTCGGACGCTTCGTTTGTTAGCAGGTTGTACAACGCTGGAAGGACAACTGGGTCAAATTAGTGATGTCCATCGAATAAATTATCATAGGAGACTGTGGGCGTACTAGTTTACTGTAAGCTCCTCTTGAGTGATCTTTTGGTAAAAACACGTAAATAAAAGTTTTAAGGACTGTAATTAATTGTTAGAATAGATCGATTTAGAATAATGCTTGTCATTCAAGTTTATTCAACTTGAAACATTAATACAAACTTACAAAAGCCATATTTGGCCAGTGTTTTTGTTAAATAGTTTTTGTAAACATGCACAATAACTAATAAATTTGATCGAATATAAACAAATTCCTAATTTCGGAAAGGCGTAGTTTATGGCTTTGTAGAACGTGATTAGGACCGACGGATACCACGTAATGAAGTAAACCATTCCAAATGGCCTTCCGGCATTTATATTTGAGAGCTCAAAACGAATAATTTCGTCCCAGTCCACGGTTGGGAACGGGGTCAATATTGGAACTCAATATCACAGTTAACAGCACATCACTCAGGGTCAATCGATTTCCACCGGTGTACCCAATGCAATTTAATTCAATGATAATATCCTGAGTTTTAGTCAAACTTGTACTTCTGTACATGCACTGATTGGTAACGTGCTAAAGAAACCGTAGGTGCAGTAGGCACAAAGCGGGGTTTTTTTTTTTTTTATGGGCGGATCAATATCGAAGGTATGAACTGACACGCTTGGGAAAACGTCGCTTCATTTTCATGTTCACAACGGCTTAAAATATCAACGATAAATTCGACGGAGTGATAGGAGAAAATTAAACCGTACACACGTAAACTATATATTTTGTTATATAAATATACAAAGTATATTTTAAAAATGTACACTGACAGGCAAAAAATTCAACGCACTTGTAATATAACTTGGTTAGTATATATTTTTATATATTAATCAAAGTTTCAGGCTTTTTAACGTTTAATAATTGAGTCTTTGTCTAAAAAAGTAGATTGCTAAGGAAAATAAAAAGTGAAAAAAAAAGACGGACAGATAAAATTTGTATATTAGATTTTTAATTAACATTTTAATATCGCGTATTTCCTGCTCTTGTCTTAATTACATCTCGAAGATGCCTCGGCAAAACAAAAAATTTTTTCTACCAGTCTGGTAATGTCTCTTTGCTGGAGGTTAGCCCATTCTTCACGAAGAGTCCTTTCAAGATCGTGCAGTGTATCAGGAAGTGATGGACGTGCTCTTATTCGTCTTTTGAGGGTATCCCAGAAATGTTCGATATAGTTCAAGTCTGGAGAACAGGCTGGCTCGGCTGTAAGACCCTGATGGTATGCTGTTGAAGTTTGTACTATGCGAGCGACATGTGGACGGGCATTATTGTGCTTTAGAATAGGATTGCCGCTGATTTCATCGAGGATAGGCAACGCTGTTCCAAAATTTCATCCACATCGCTAGTGGCCGTGAAAGACCCTCCACGACACAACGACCAACTCTGTGCGACTCTCCATTGAAATTACCGCCCACATTATCACTGAGCTACGTTGAAAATGTTGGCTCTGGGAAAAATTACATGCTCCGTACCTTTCATTTCGCCTTCTCCACACTCTTTCACGCCCATCTGGACATCGTAGAGCAAATCTACACTCATATGTAAAACGTACAGCAGACCTATCGTCCAAAGAATGGCTGTGTTCTCGAGCAAATGCGATCCGTGTACCTCTGTGCTCTGGCCAATTCTGGTCCTCTTACGGGGTGAAACCATCAGCCCATGCTGATTTAATCATTCATCGGGCAGTGCGTTCAGAAATTTGGACACCTCGAACTTCCTGGAGCTGATATATCGCTTGAAAAACAGTAAGGTGTCGGTTTCGCAAAATTTTGGATTAACGATTAAGTGTGTTTACCTCTAATTATATTCCCAATTTAAAACATACCATAAACCAATATTTATTGGTAAAAACAATAAGAGAAATTAAGGGCAGAATTTTCTTTTATGGAGTAAATGAAAAAAATCAATTCGGTGGAATTTTTTGCCTGTCAGTGTATATTCAATTTGACAAAGATTTTCATTTAGATAGATTGATAGAAAAATAATTCGTTTTATCTAGATTTGCAATGATAATCACGTAGGAGGGTGGCGTATTTCCCACTTCAAATTTTCTTTCCAATTACAGTATATTTTATTGATAAGCCTAATGGAAGAAATCACAGAAAAAGTCCACAAGGTATCAAAAAGATGTAATGCATGCGAGGCATTAAACACCAAGAACTTCTTTTAATATTTTAATTATAAATACATTTAATAAACAAGAATATAAAATGATGGGGGGGCGTCGGTGGCCGCAAGGTTTAGTCGTTGACACGGCGCTCATCACTGCAAGGTAAAGGTCCCGGGTTCGAATCCAGCGGCCCTGCATTCGAACCTGACATACTTGCAAATCGGCTTTTTTTCAAAAACACCGGCACCCTGAGGGTTTATATGACCTCTGCTGTTGCGAACTCTCGAAAAAAAAAAAAAATATAATGACAGATATAATATACACTATAAATAGTAATTTATGATTAAAATAAAAATACGTTTCCCTTAGAAGCAAGACGTTAACATCCTATTGTTGGAGGTGTACCTAAGGGATCAATTCTACCACCATACTTATTTTTCCTGTTTAACAATACAATTCCCACATCAGAAGACTGCTCTCTTTGGTGATGATTCGGCATAAGTTTCCACTAGGCGTATCTACCGCCAACCAGCTTAAGCGTGTGGTCTTCTTTCAGTGAACTTCCATGTATCCAAGATGTTAAACGGAATGAAGCATACTGGGCTGATTCTGTGTGGCAAGAGG